CACTTCACCTCACAAACAAACACGTCCGCTCAGCTCGGCTGTTTGCTCTGAACTGACACACAGACGAGCCGGCGAAGCAAGAAGAGCGCCAGAAGAAAGGGCCCTTGCCGGCGGGGCCCAGCCAGGACAAATGGAGGTCCCACAAAGCGCCTACACAGGCCGCGGGCGGGGTAGACGACGGATGGGGCCCACCTATGAAGGCTGTCCAGGCCTACACGAGATGAGGCAGGAAAAAGAGGGATAATCCCTCTCAATCCCAAATCATTGAGGCCAATTTCTAGCCATGGAATAATGGCGCGTGATGATTGATATTTCTAGAAGGAAGGTTTCTATGATACTTCCATAGAAACACAAAAACAATAATTAAGTACCCATTCAATAGTACCAATATAATAAATTTAAAAAACCAAATATTGCTACTTTTGACAAGTGTCAAATAAAATCAATATGGCCACCTGTCCTCAAGTTCGTCAATAAAAAATAATAACAAATATTCATGAAAAAGTAAAAGAAGAAAAGTATGGTGGCGTAATCATTTTTACAAGTGATAAAAGATAAGCATCACTATTCTTTTCACTACCCTTTCACTTTGAGAGAAACAAAAAAGTAGCATATTTCACAAGACATTAACATTCAGGTGAGACCTTATTACTCTTTTACTTTTAACGTGGAAAACAGTAAATAACGTAGTAACCTCAAGGTCATTCTGTTAATTTTATATGTCTACTTGTAACTAAATTTCTAATAATATTTTTTTTAATTTGAGCTAAATTTTATTTTATTTTTTTTTTCAGATGTCGAATATTATTCCACCACTGTTGAGTAACACACCTCCTCCACCACCATCTCCAGAGGATGATGATGATGATGAATTTGGGGATTTTACGGGAGTTAATGACTTATCTTATGGCTGTGACAGTAAGAGATTTTAAATCTTATAGTTTTGTAAAATTATACTATCTAATGTTTTTTCCCAGATTTATCATTGCCCCCATCTCCAGATCATTCGCCAAAGAAGGTATCCAATTCACATGGATTGGATATTAATAGTAACTCGGAAAAAAATAAAATAGTACAAGTGGATTTAGGAATAGATAAAGATTTTCAAGATAAAAGGAAAAATAGTGAAAGTTTTAATGAATTGTGCAATGTGGAGGAGAAATATATAGAAAGTGTAGAAGAGAATATTTTGCAATATGCTAAAAATACAGTCACTGATACTCCGAACATGCACGATAACGTCCTTGAAAATGGTTCTGATGCTGATTCAAAAAATTACTGTAATTTTAGTTCACTTAATGACAATATTACAGAACAGCAACAAGATGTTGACAGTGAAATTAAATCTATTTCTAATCAACAGACATTGGACAATAGGATCACAGATGATAATAAAGAAACTGAAAATTTATTTTCAACTGAGATTAAAGAAAAGCCTTTAAGTTTTACAGTAGATAGTAATGTAAAAGAAGAAATCTGCAGTTTAAGTAATAATGAGGAGGATAAGATGAATCTAGAAAATGTAGGTGTTTTTGATAATATAACAGTTGATACACCTCTTTGTGAGTTGAGTAGTGAAGAAAACAGTAGTCAAAAAATTACCTCGGAGATTACTAAAAGTTTGGAATTAAATGATGCTATTTGTACACAGAAATCATTTATAGAACAAAACAGTTCTAATCTGACTGAAAATCGTGAAGAAAAAACTAGTCATGAGAGCTTTACGGTATGGAACACATTTGAAGATGATAGTATAAAAAATGATGAAAATGTGAATATAAAGCAAATTTGTACTGATGATGAATTTGCGGACTTTGCATTTGCAGATACCGAATATAAAAATTCTACAGAAACAACATACTATTCAAAAACTGAAGACATAAGTAGTAATTATTCTGATGAAACGTTTTGCAAACAAAAGTTACAAAATGAAAATTTTACAATTCCTACAAAAACAACTTCAGAAGATATTGTACAGAAAATAGTGAACCCTGTAGATGAAGATGATTTTGATGATTTCTGTGAATTTACATCGAATACATTTGAGCAAGACTCTAAACAAGACAAGTTACAGCTTTCTCCAGAACAGAGTGATTTTGGTAATTTTGCAAATTTTGCTGAAGTTGTGGAGGAACCAGTTTTTTTATTGTTAAATGAAAAACAGGCTTTGGAAAAAGCAGATTCTATTTTGAAAGAAATTTTTCCTCTCTCTAATACTGTTGAAGAGGACTATCAATATGCTGATGTAGAAAGCAATGATTTCATTTTTAATGAGTTAAAGGATATTACAGAAACCAATGCTTTGACTTATTTGTGGTCAAAATCAGCTAGTCAGAATATGCTTTTGAAGGCTCTTAATATTGATGCGAGGAACATAGTAAGTATTTTCAAGTATCCTGTATTACAGCAAAAATTATATTTTATAAATACACTTACTTTATTCTTAATTAAGTGTGCAATAGAGATAATCCCTCGGATAATCCTAATTATAAGTATATTGATAATGAAAGTGTCCATTCCTGAGTTCGTTACATTGCTATCTAGCTTTCTATCCATGTTAATACAGGGTGTCCCAAAAATGAATAAATTTCGTTCTACTTTATAGTTATATGGAGCATCGTGGAATCCTTCAATGCCTAGATTTGCTGCAAATTTAGGCCTTACGCCACTAGAACCTATTAAAACTGAAATATCTCCTTGCACACTGAAGTCTAGTCCGTCCACTTCTTCACAGCCATCTAGTAGTGATATTCCTAGTGCTCAGTTTGATTGGAATGGATCAGGGCTTGTTAACCCCCTTGATTGTAAGTATTTCAGATTTAATGTCTAATAATACAATTACAACTGTAGAGGATGTCCTAGTTTGGGTGAATCAAACATTAAAAACACGTAGTACTCAAAAAAGTATTGATTGAACCATTATTGGTTTAGGTTTTTTTATTCTAATACCTTTACTTGCAAAAGCCGATTGGAATAAAATTCGGTGCATTGTTATTGATTGATTTATTTGATGCTGCTTTAATAATTTTTTTATAATACAGTGATGTAGGGTTAACACTTTTTTTCGTCCAAAAAATCATATTGCTTTGTAGTGGAAAAAATTTACCATTTAAGTAACAATGTCACTTAAGATTAGAAATTGAAACCCCATTTCTTCTAACAAAGTACTACAATATTGAAATTGTATACTAGTGGAAAAGTAAGATGATACAAACCAATATAGCTTTATATTTTTTATATATCATGTCAGGATTAAGTAGGTGGTAGGTACAGTCGGCGCCACCCAAATGTGAACGGCAATATTGTACCGTGTAATTTAAACTTCAAATCATAGTCGTAAAATTCAATAGTTGTCAAATATACATATATGTCACTTAGAGCAAACATAATTAAATGTAAACAAGTAACGTGAAATATGCCGGAGCATTTAACTGAAGCGCATAGAGCAAGGGCTATAGCTAAATTAGAAGATAATTGGTCTTTGAGTGAAGTAGCTGCTGATTTAAATGTCAGTAAGAGTTGTATACTTTATATTAAACAGCGCTGGCGAGAACAATATTACAAAGATCTAGCAGGCAAGGTGTCGGGAAGGTTTCCAGTGACGCAGAAGACAATGCCTTGGTCGAATTTATCCATAAGAATACCCTCTCTGTGTTACGCCACTAAAAAAAGTCTGATTTACTATGATAAAATCCAGATAAAATTTCCATAACTACCAAAATGTGTTCACATTTGGGTGGCGTCAACTGTACTTATAGAATATCGATGCATAGATTGTCACTTCGTGTTTCTTCTTGAGCCTTGAATATTTGTAAATTTTCCACTAAGTAGACATTTATATATTATCTATTAAGTAAAATAAAGACAAATTTTATATAAATATTAAATTAGCTTAACCTTAGAAGTTTAAGAAAAAATAAAAACACTTGACAATAATGATGTTAAAATTTATTAGTTTTATAAATATATTTTTTATTACAAATAAAATTTAGATTTATACTCGCTAAAAATAAGCTTCTGCAGTACTTAGTAGCAGTTTGATGTTCTGAATAGACTTAAACTCTATCTTTATCGGGGGGAGTGCTATCTAAAGTATAGGTACACAAAATTTTAGAAAAACGATTTATGCAAGTCAGATTAGGTTAGGTCAAGTTAAGTATTATGGGTAGTATCTAAACATTCATATGTCTCATCATTTTGAATAGGATTTTAAATTCGTCAACTGATGACAAATTATGTTGCCCACGTCATTCTATTTTATTTGGAAAAAATATGTTTGAACTTCTGTAAGCGCACATATAATTTTAGTTAGGTATATAGATATTTAGATCACATACTAGGAAGATGTTAGTGAATCTGCATCTTTCGCAACTTTTAACTATATGTCATGTGACTATTGCTTTGGCGGTAAAATTGTGAGGAATTTAAGAATTTTATGAAAAAATTATTGAAACTGCTAGATTTCAGAAAATTATAAGAATGAAAAGTTTTATTTCAAAATTAAAGGTGCGGCAAGATAACTTCCTCATTTCATAATGCAATAAAACTAAAAGTAGTAAAGATATATTTTCAATTTTTTTTTTTTTTATTAAAAAGTTAAACATTTAAAGTTTAAACCGTTTTAAAAATTATATCTATCGGGAAAGTTACGTCCTCCATTGTCGATATACAGGTTGAACTGAATTCTGCTGTTTGCCGAGATTGTGCACCAAACGGTGACACGTGAATGCAAACGCGTCTGATAGAGTTCTCGGGGGTTGTTGGCGGCCCAATAGCGCATATTTTATTGACATATCCAGTCAAATTAAAATGAGCCTCATCAGTAAAAAACACAAACGCGTCTTGAGGGACATGTTCAAGAAGTACTTCACAAGCATTTCTTCGAGCATTAAAGTCGTGTTCGAAAAGTTCATGCACAATGGCCAACTTATAAGGATGGAAATTAAGTTCATCCTTCATATTTCGAATCACGGAACAATCGTAAATTCTAAGAGCAGACGCATGTTTGCACGCCGAATGCCGCGGGGATCGCAAAACTGCAACACTTTTCGCTAAAATTGGTTTTCCTTGCAAAGTGAAAAAACTGTTTTCCTCACTTTTTGTTTAAATAGAAAAGTTAGCTAATAAAATTTTTGACTCACGAGATGAGAGATGTTTTGTATTATGTTCCTTTAGACAATTTTACAATAATCTCGCGGATAGGACTTTTTTTGAGTTTCTCTTTTATTTTCGCTAATTTTCCTGGTGTAATTAGTTAACAAAACTTTAGGATCCCCTCTCGAATGAGACCACGCATAGCCACCTGGGACTCCCATCAGCTTCAGAGCGCTCATTTCAAATAAGGAATTTATCTTGCCGCACCCTTTACCTAAAAAACCACAATAGCTAGAGCGAATCTGTGAGCACCATCAAATTACTAACAGAATAGTCTTAAATTTCCCTCATTTAACTGTTTTCTCTCTCTCATATAGTTGTTAGTTTTGAGCTCTCTATACATGCATCACTAAAATGGCCTACTCGATATATTAAACTCCGAAGTTTTTCCCTTATGATATATAAGTACATTTTCTCATTGTATAAGTTGTCCAACCTGGGCTTTAAGTGCTATTTATTAGTTGGTATTTGAAGTGCTTCTTAACGGTCCACTTTTCAAACCTCAAATTAGGATTCTTTTTTTTATAGAAAGAACATTAGAAAAAGCCAAATTAGGGGTTAAATTACTATGATATAGAACTATGAATTATTAAAAAGAAATTTCAGTATTTTTTGAGTACTACCTGTGATTAACGTTTGTACACCATGTATTTGGAATAAAACTTTAATTTGAAAGTCAAAATATTAATGTGAAAATTATTTTATTACATTAATGAATTTACAAAGTTTTGCAACTATGGATGATATAAATGAATTCACTTAAGTGCATTTTAAAAAGACCAAAAGCATTAACTCATTAGTTCAAGTCCATGAAGTTAATTTCAATCGCTAGTGAAGTATTTTAAAACTCCTATTCATGGGAGCTTTTGCGTTTTTTTATCAAATTATCATGCCCTTAAAGAAAATGGTCTTAATTTTAAAACGTGTGTGTAGCTATTGTTAGGTTGTACTCATATTTATCGGCTTTTAATAAAATTTACAAGTCCAATCTCCAATATTAATTACAATAATACATAATCTAGCATTAGTAGTAGATGTAGTGCATATCTGAAAGCTAATATACTGACAAATAATTTCCATGCTCGCTACGGATTCCTTACTATACATTTCCACCAATCCTAAACAAAATCTGATGACCTATTGACCTGATCTGTTGTTTTATTTGTCTTTTACTTTTTATTTCTATCCGAGACTCTCAAACTATGCTGTTAGATTTAGAACAGCTAGTAGCTTCCTTGGATATCCCCACTTGCAATGCATCCTCTAACTCAAATCATTCCTCGTCTCCCACAAATGAGTTGAACGACTGGGATATTTGGTTGCAATGTAAGTACAATTCTAATTATGCATGATGAATGTTTGTCACCGTACAAAGGTACTTTCTTTATAATTTTTTTGTGTACATTATCACATCAGAATGTTAGATTCAACAGTAATTCCATTATATCATGTATAATATCAGAAAAGTGAAATATCATTTAATCTATTAGAACACTTTCTCATGGTGGTGTTTTGTGGTTTGGTAGATCCAGTGATGTGGGAATTATACCCAAAAGAATGTACGATAATGCAGATTTGATTTGTAGACAACGTTCCCTCTTAAAAACGTTCCCGTTAAAAACGAATGTAAAATTGTGCAAGTGGGGGGGGGTCCTGTGCCTGTGTTTGAAGTCAATTTTTTTTTTAATAAAAATTCTTGAAAATTACATTTTAAAGCATTTTTGTGTTTGGATTTTTGCCATTTTTAAATGCAATACAAAAATGTCTGCGCAACTTTCGAAACAGTTTAGAGGGAACTTTGTTCCTAGAGTTCCTGCAATGAGAAAATATTTTAGTTGCTGAATGATATTTGTTGTCAAAGCCTTCATTTTCCTAGAATTTGGGAAAAACAAAACATACAGTGTCTAACTTATCTGAAAGGTAAATTTCAAGGAACTATTAATGAAAAAAATGTCATATTTTTTCTAAACTTGATAATATAAATAATAGCTGTTTTACATTGACAATTTATTGATGAATAAATTGACGAAGTTCTTCATGAATTAATTCACGAATTTATTGGTAAACAGTGTGGTTTTACATTGCTACAGACTTTATCAAGTTTTTTTAGGCATGAATCAGTTCTACCAATGAATCAAAGAAGCAAATAAATTTCAAAAATGTCACCTTTCCACTCATAATTGTAGTGATACAACAGCGGTACCGTTGTGACACATATTATATAAATATTAGTGTTTGTAAGTAACAAATCAGTAAAAACAATGCAAAACTAGTATGACGCCAAACAATTATTTACATATTCCAATAACATAACCTCATTACTGATCTGAGGCCGGAAATCTGTTGGGTTGGTACTTCCGAACTACACGAAGAAATTGACGAAAATTAGAACATGCCCTAATTCATCAATAACTTGATGAATAAATTCATTAAGTTATTTGACAGCAGATTTGGTGCATTACACTTGTCCAATTTCTTGATGAAGCGACTTCATGAATTAATTGATCAATAAATTGTCAATGTAAAACAGCTATAAGAAACTTAACTATTTGCCAGTTATCACCTTTTTTAAGCCAAACTGCTGGGTTTATGGCACTCACAATATAGAGACTTTATTGATAGGCTAGCCACTAACATTAATCTCTTTTAATATGACACATTCTTTTGGCTATATCTCCAGTACTATTAGCGTCCTAACAGGATTATAAAAGTATACGTACAAAATATTATGTATAAAAAAATTGACATTGAATCTAACATTTTTGTGAGATGATCCTGTTACATACCAAGACCTGCTAAATTCTTCTTACATTAGCACTAAATGGAACAAAGGAATGTACGAATCAAGTGTGAATTCAAAAATACTGTTGTATTTCTTCATTTTGAAAATTTCTTTCAAATACTTTCTTCTCGCTGAATGAAAGGGTTAGAAATGATAAAATTTCCAAAAAACTGCCTAAGAATGCCACAATAATAAAACTTTGAAAGCTTATGATAGCTATTTCTATATAATGAGCCACTTTACAAGTACATTAAGTAATGTAAACATTACTTACATTTTACTTTTATTTGACATCGCTGATAAAATGTTATAAAAATTGCCAGCGTGAATAATATAAATTTAATAATATTTAAATATATGCCAGATATTTTTTCTGAATGCATAATTCATTTAAAAATATTTGCTGGTAATATATTTATGTAAAAATTACTTAATAGAAGTAAAGTTCTCATAAATAATTGACAAAAACAAAAAAACACAATTTCTGAAAAATTAAATTTTTAATAAAACAGTATAATAAATTCTTATGTGGTTAATTTTAGCTGTACCTAAAGAGTCTGCAGAAATGGCCCAAACAAGTGGTGAAAGAAAATCTTTTGAATTATCAGGTGAACAGTCGATATTACAACCACAAATTATGGATAAACCAGTAACATCACAAAAAGTACCTTCAAAAAATGACCTTGAACAGGTCTCTGAAGAGAATGTAGATGATTTTGAGGATTTTACTTCTTATCAGTCCCCAACAGGGTCAGAAACTTGGCAAAATGTAGTACCTTTACGAGAAACTTACATATCTAATGATGCTAAAGAACTGCCTTTAGATATCACAAATTGGCTTCAACCCACAATAGTTACTCCTGAATTGCCTAGGAAAGATTTGGAAATAGGAGATGAAGAATTGCCAAATATTCAAACGCCAGAATTTATAAGGAAAGAAGTAGTAGCGCTTGAGGAAAATGATGATGATTTTGATGATTTCCAGATGGTTTTACCAGAAAGTACTGCTATTCAAAAAAATAATATAGAAGTAAAGAATTCTAGCTTTCTACAACCTGATATTAAAGAACCTATAGTATCTTCTAGCTCAAATATGGCCAGCACTGATTTTAAAAATTTCGCATTCCCAGAAGAAAAAACTAAAGTAGAATCAATGACAAATTCTGTAACTGATGTAGATCAAAACAAGACAAGTTTAGAAATAAATACTGTTAAGCATAAGGAACCAGCAGTAGTTGATGATGATGATTTTACAGAATTTCATTGTTCAGTTCCTGCTCCACAACCAACTGTGCCTAAGCCTCTTACACCAATTCTAGAACCATTGAAACCAGTACCCGTTTATACAACAATACCAACCACTTCAACTCAAATTAATTGGCCAGATCCTGGAATAACGGATGAAGAGATTAAAAAATTTGAAATGGTATTCAAACGACCTCAAGAATACAGTGGTATAGAAAGTAAAAAAGAAATACCTGACAAAAATAATGAACAGACGAATAAAGCATCAAAACATAGTTCATTTGATGATGATGAATGGTCTGATTTTGTTTCCGTACAGAAACCCTCACCCGTCCACAAATTTCATTCATCTGAGAAAGAACGAACTTCAAGTCCAGATTTACCTTTATCTGTTTTAAATCTGAACACCATTCAACCCACAAAACAACCAATACCAGTCATTACACCTCAAGGACTTATTCAGACTAAGTTGTCCTCAAGTAACTCTTTAAATTTGTCTCCAAAAGTGCAGCTAAAGAATAATTCAATAAATTCACAGCAGAAGGCATTATATCCGAAACCACAAATTCATCCTTCTATTATAAGCAATCAGTTTGCATCGCAAGTATATAATTTTAATAATGGGAACTTAAGTCAAAACAAAGCAGTTCTAAATTTTCCTCAGCCTCAAAGTGCAAGCAGCAATTTGCAGTCTTTGGATGATGATGATTGGAGTGATTTTATTTCAAGTCCTTTACCTCCAGCTACTTCAAACGGCTATCAACAGAATTGGCAAAACACATCTATCTATAAACAGTCAAACTGGGCAAATCCATCTCCTAATATCATTACCAACCCAAGGCATTTCGTACAAAGTGGTAGTGATATGAAAAATAAAGTGTCTAATATTTCAGTGAACAGTAAAAAAAGTACGATTCCTAGTATATCTTTACCTGAATTAGAATTTATTGCCCCCAAAGAAAGGACTTCTAGCTCAAGGAAGAAATGACTAAGGGAGCAAGTAATGCTGTAAGTTTTTACAGTTTGTACATATGTCTATAAACAACAGTGGGCGATTTTCAATGTTTTTGTTCAATATTTTGAGGATGTATTCTCTAAAGTAAAATTAAAGTAGCCCACGATGTACTGTTGGTTTTTAAAAATGACACTAATTGACAAAATATTGAAATTTCTGATTTATTGCATTTGCTGTAAAATAATTTAACTGACTGAAAAATGTACATCAAGTTAATGAGATTTTTTTTATAGAAATACTTCCTTTTTGAAATGTCATTATTTAGACGATGAGCCAAGTAGTCAAAAATGGACGGTTTGGTTTCCTTTCTGGGGAGTAAATGTAACCTAATTTAGATTCGTCATGAAGGCATCATAAATGTTTGTAATGATACTTTGTAAAATTCAGTAGCTTAGTGGCGTTACGACCTTACAAAAATGGCCGCCGGGCGAAAATCGTAGTTTACCATTCTGAAATCTGGTTTCATTTGTAAAGAGTAAAAGTATCATAAAAATTGCAATTTAGCATAAAGCTAGGATCAATGTTTGGGATGATACTGTGTAAAAGTCTGTAATTTAGTTACGTTACTACGTCACAAATATGGCCGCCGGGCAAAAATCGTAGTATACCATTCTAAGGTCTGGTTTTACTTGTAAGGAATAAAAGTATCATACCAATGTCAATCCAATATAAAGCCAGGATCAATGTTCGTAATGATATTTTGTAAAGTTCGGTAGCTTAGTACGTTATAACGTCACAAACATGGTCGCCGGCCAAATTCCGTTTAGGCGTATTGGCAAAAATTATAATAATAAAATATTATATTATTATAATAATATGATATAATATAATAATCAATTTGTACAATACTAATATCAGTCTTGTTATTCCAATTTGCCTATATTGAATTTTTCCCTTTTTTCAGATATGTATTCCGAAGCAGATTTTTCACCATTGCCTTAAAAAAGCAAAAATAACAGGTACAACCGATGAATGTATCATTCACTGTACCAGCGACAACAGCAGTTTCGTGACTCTATCATCTACCGAGTCATGGAGAACTCTCTTGAACGCAGCGACAATAAGGAAACACAAAAGATTACTGGAAATTGCAGTCAGTTATCGGAGAAGAATTTCCTGCATTAAAGTACCACCGTCAATGTCGAAGCATCTTCACCATAAAATCTAAACACGCTAGTATTACGGTGTACGGTGTTAATATTTTGGTGTAATGAGTACTTACACAACTGCACTTTGAAGACACCGATGGTTCGTCCTATAATATTGTGTTCTGCTTAGTCGTAACACTAGCGAGTTTATATTTCGTGTTGAAGATGCTTCGACATTGACGGTGGTACTTTAATGCAGGAAATTCTTCTCCGGTAACTGACTTTGCAATTTCCAGCAATCTTTTGTGTTTCCATATTCCATGATTTGGTAGATGATAGAGTCACCAAACTACTGTTGTCACTCGTAAAGTGAATGATACATTCATTGGTGGTACCTGTTATTTTTACTTTTTTAGGCAATGGTGAAAAGTCTGGCGTCGTAATCCATATCTGAAAAAAAAGGAAAAAATTAAATCTAGGCAAATTGGAATAACAAAACTGATATTGTACAAATTGATTATTATATTATATCATCACCACGGTAGCATAGTCGGTCGAGCATGCGGTGGCAAGCATTTCTTGGCCAGACTTCCTATTTTGGTCCGGGTTCGATCCCTGGCGTCAGCACTGGCAATGTCGATGGATAATGGATGTTTGTCCGCATTTTTTCAAGTGTAGCCTCCTTCCACACAGCCTTTGGCTTTGGATTTGGGGGTTGTCTCATTTCTGTGGTGTGTTTTATGTTTTTTATTATTATATTATTACATTATTATAATAAAATGATATTTTATTATAATATAATATTTTATTATAATTTTTGCCAATACAGTATCGACACTGTACTCCGAACTAATTAAGATGTGGGCTTACAGAGATAAGTTTGAATTACCGATATTTTGGGATTATTGGATACTGAATATGTTTATGTAGATACATTTAATACATAACATATTAATAAAAAAGAATACTTTAAAAGAACCAATGAAACAGTTTAACGGTTACGAGTTTGCACGGCAATAATATTTCAACTAAAAAGATCTAATTGAGAAAGGTTCCGACTCGCATAAAAGGGTTTCTGCGAGGCTGCCGGGGAATTATGTTTTTAGCGGTTACTTTTTATTATGTAGTCTGACTCTATAATTTGAACTATATACGTTAAACCGAATTTTGTTCGAATTAAAGAGTTTTGTTCGGACCATCGAAACGGGCATTCGTCGGGCCAGTTAGTGGATTTCGGATTAAAGAGTCAATACTGTACACCTAAACGGAATTTCGACGTCATAACATAACTACTACGCTACCGAATTTTACAAAGTATCATCCCAAACATTGATCCTGGCTTTATGCTGGATTAATTTGTATTATACTTTTACTCCTTACAAGTAAAACCTGACCTGAGAATGATATACTACGATTTTCGCCCGACGGCTATATTTGTGACATCGTAACGTAACTAAGCCACCGACTTTTACACAGTATCATCCAAAACATTGATCCTGGCTTTATGCTAAATCAAAATTTGTATGATACTTTTACTCCTTACAAATGAAACTAGACTTTATAATGATAAACTACGATTTTTGCCCGGCGGCCATCTTTGTGAGCTCGTAACGCCACTAACTGAATTTTACAAAGTATCATCCGAAACATTCATGAGGTGTTCTTGACAAATGTAAATTGGTAGGCTACATTTACTCCCGTAGAAGGAAACCGCACATGCTCTTTGGCTCAACGTCTAATTGACAGGTAAAGTTCTTGAATTTAAACATATTTTTACTTGATCTATCTAGAGATCGAGCAATACTAATATATCGTATTGCTAATCCCATCATATTGGCCTAGATACAGGGCAAGTCAAAAAGTTAACCAAAGCTTCTGATCAAATTGGTGCAATTAACTCAATGTCAAAATGCTTCCTCAAAAAGTTTTAATTGAGATATATGTAAGAAGTATATCTTTCTTTACAGTAAATAAAATAGTACAATAAATAAATTCTGACTCATCCCGTATAGGTATATCGGCAGCCATGTTGGCCAATGTGGTGGTCGATATATTAAGGCTGATTAATTACTTGCGTTGAACGATAACTAATGCATATATACAATATGTTATGCTACGAACCTACCAAATTTAATTATTTGTGTCAAATGAAAAGAGAAATGCTTATGCTTTTTATGCTGTAAAAATAATGCATACATAAATAATTTTTTAAATCAACAGTACATTTAAATGATTTAAATTAAAAAATAAGAAATCCAAAACAATTTTAATTTACTGTTTTAAAGACTAAAACCTAATACATATTATTTCTGAGCGTGGTTGGTTAAATCACGAGTTTATTGATTGGGTAATTTAATTGATGTTTAATTTTAATTAACTTCATCAAATGTAATAGTCATTCTTTTATAATTATAAAAAGTATTCTACTTTGTACTTTAAAATCAATTGAGAACTAATTATTTTATGTATACTTTAACACTATTAATTAGAATAACCTAATGTCTGTTATTTCAAAGATTTCTTTTAATTGGTTTTAGTTAAATTTTCTAATTCAAAGATTTCCAAATGAAAAGAAAGGCCTATTACATATATTTTTTAATCAATTTTTATGAAATTGTAACGTATCTTTTGTTTTCAAAAATAGTTTGGATTAAAAAATAGTACATTTATATATCGTAATTAGAGACCGACCGAATGTGATTTTTTTGGCCGAAGCCGAACTTCGGTTTATGAGTCGCCTTCGGCCGAAGCCGAAGATATCTTTATTAACTTGACAATTTTAATTAAAAACAAAAATATGATAAGATAACATAAAAGTAGTTAAAAAAATGCATAATGTTTTGGAAATATAATATATAATAAATAAAACAACAAATTCTAATTAATATTAAAGTATGTCTCTCTTTAAATCAGTTTTCACTAATACAAATACTAATACTGCTATGCTATAGTACTTCGGCCTACGGCGCAGCGTTCAAAAAAATGTATCTAAAACATATTGCGGGTAGTCCCTGCCTGATCCGACCGGGAAGTTGCAGGTGCAGGCTCAAACTCGCTCCGTGTCGACTGTCAAATGTCGATGCAACGGTCGACGAAAAGTTCGGCTTAATTTTGGCCTAAGCCGATTCATAGCCGAAGGCTTAAATAATGGCCGAATGTGGCCGAAGCCGATTAATCGGTCGGTCTCTAATCGCGATTATTTGATAAATCAATAAAATGTAAGTTTTATGCAGGAAACGAGTGAAAATTAGTTCGTTCTTAAAGCTTAGAAAAAGGTGTAGATTTTCGATTTTCTAATTTGTTTTTTTTTTAACAATACATAGTTTTTTTTAACTATTATAAAGGGGTGTTATTTCAAATAAATTAAAAAAAAATAAAAATTCATAAAAAATCTTGTCTCTGAAGTTAGATGTCTTTTGCATACCTAAATTTTTGGTATCTTACCGTTTGACCCCCATTTGAAAGGATTTTTTTGAAGAAAAATTTTTTGTATTTATTTGAATTAGTTTAATATGTTTATAATAGAGTTAATTAAATGTGAAAGCTAATACAATTTATATTTTTAAAAAAAGAAATTTAGTAGTTTTTGGGTTAAAAAATAAAAAAATTAACAAATGACTAGTTAAATAAAAAATTGTTGTAGATAAATTGTTAAATAGTTTTTAAATTTTTTATTTTTACTCCATATTTTTTATTATCCGAAAAATTCATTTTTTTAAATTAGTTCTGAAATGATAGACATTACTGCTAGTATTAACTTTGCAACTTGAGTGATATTATTTATTCAGAATTTTAGGTTGTACGTGAATTTTTATAAGCAAAGGGATTGAAAGCAAATGACAAAGTTGTATCGCCTTATTTTTCTTTTGTACATTGCTTATGATTCCTTTTGCAGATCTAAATAAAAAAATGTGCACAATGCATATAAAGTATTTAAGTACTTAATATAATGGTTTCTTTTTTAATGTCTATATGTATATTTGAAACATATTGTCAATATTATATTGTTATTTACCATTCCAAATTGTTTCCACAATAAATATTATTTATATAACCTTATCCTGTTCTTTTTCATAAAACTTATTTCCCTTGGACCTATATAAATCAGGTAAGCTTTTTTAAATGAATAATGGATAAATTATTTTGTTCGTCATTGAATGTATCAATATTTTATCATTCAGTTTGATTGAAAAAAAAATAACTTTTAAGTTCATTTACAGTACCTACCTACAGGGAAGGAAAGTACCGATGGTCTATCTGAAGTTACGTGAGAGCGATAAAGTAAGCCATAGAAATCTATGTGATAGACAAGGATGAGTATAGTGAAGGCGTCTAATAGTCACCGCCCATTTCGCCCTTTCACAAATAAGATCTACTTCTTATTTGTGGAAGGGTGAAACGGGCGGTGACTATGAGACGCCTTCATTATAGCCATCCTTCTCTATCGCATGGATTTCTATGACTTACTTTATCGCTCTCACGTAATTTCAGATAGAGCATCGGTACTTTCCTACCCTGTATATGGTAGGTACCTAGTTTTGAAACATCTAGGAAAAGTAATTATTGCAATGTTCTTAATATTTTATATTTTAGATAAAAATTTTAGAATTAAACTGTTGAAGTAACATTATACTGATGCCCTTCCTGTCTAATATCTGAAAATGGCAGCTTCCGTTATTATTAGACTGTTTGCGCATCTTCATGCTTATTCTCATGTTATTCTCGTTCCTGCTAGTGCATTGAGAGAATCGTCCGAATTTTACCCTAACGTGTGTGGATTGTTCAGGCCTCAGGTCTACCTGACAGATTCACCGGAACGTGTATTGCTGCCTTAACTAAGCATGCTTTCTTTCAAATACAGTAGCGCCATCTTAATTTACTCTATTTTTCCAACACTTTTTACATACGAATGCTCCTATTGCTCCTTACCTTTACCACATATCTAACCCTTTACACTCCCTATTCCGACCTAAGCAGAAAAGGCGTACAACACGAAATAGGATTTAAAATGTTTCATTCTCTTCAGTTGGATTAGCCATAGCCAAGAAATGATGGATATAGTATTTTTTCTATACTGTGGTTATTATACAATTCTATTATATCGTACGGATTATTGTGCAATCTGCCGAACATATTCGCTCGACCACAGACCACATATCTGTACAAGAAATTCAAGCGTTATGAACCTTAGGCCGGGTTTTATACTGTCGGTTTAAACTTGAAATAGGCATTTAAACTGTGACCTTAAAAAAGTGAACGTTTTATAAGCTTCGTTAATTAGTAGACTGGCGCCCGTTCTTTGGCGTTAAACGTGGCCACGATGATTTGGGACCGAGAGAGACTATCCCTCTTTGTCCTGCCTTATCTCTGTAGGTCTGGGCAGTCTCGTGAAGGTGGGCCCCGTCCATCGTCTACCCCGAACACAAGCGCCACGCGCGCCATTATTCCTTGGCTAGAAATTGGCCTCAATGATTTGGGATCGAGGGGGATTATCCCTCTTTATCCTGCCTCATCTCGTGTAGGCCTGGACAGCCTTCGTAGGTG